AAATTATATTATAATAAATTAATAAAAAATTATTTTATATTAATCAAGCTAAGCTTCCTTTTTGCAATTAATTATACTTTCACACCTTTGCACCTATATAGTATCTCTACTTTGGAAAACATTTGTAATAAACTCCACTGGATTATGCAAATACTCCTGGAGGGTCCTTAGCTTCTCCTGTAACTCCTCCTCCCCTGTTATCTAAATAAACTTAGACTTAATACTAGCAAATCGACTACCACCCTTAAGCCAACCAACTGCCCCAAGAATATTATTTATAATTTTATATTAATTTAAAAGGCAAGGTAAGTTATTAGTTTATATACTTAATAAATAAAAATTATAAGTTAGGGAAACTTACCTATTGCCTCTTATACAGACTGCATACTAAACATAATCTCCTCTTACTTTTTAGCGTTTAGTCCCTAAGGCTTTTTTTCCCTAAACTTATCTAGCTTAAGAAACCACAGCATACGTAAAGTAAGAAAAAAAGCGCGGGCCTCTTTCCTCTTCTTTCAGGCGGGCTTTGTGTTAATAATAAAGCCAGGCCGGCTTGCCTTTGTTTCGTAAAAAGCCATACCCTCGGTCATCCCAACAGTTATAGCCAGCATACACAGGAGCTCGACCTCTGGCTCCGCCTAGTATTATTAAAGGAGAGATAACCCTAAGTTATAGTAGTTAATAAGCCCGGTGTTTACTAGCTTACCCCTGGGCGTTTCTTCAGAAATAAGCCCGGAGTCTCCCGACTTGCCCCCGCGCTTTGCGTTAAAAACCAGGATGTCATAGCCCGTTTTTAATACAGGGGGTAGGCCCTCTCGGAGCGGGAACGTGCAGCCAAAGTCAATAAAAGCCGAGCTTTTCCTCCGCTTAGCCGCCCGCTCGTCTTCGGCCGCTGCCCGGCCGCCCGTTCGCTTCAGGAGAGAAAAGGCGTCGCGGTAAACCGGCTCTCTGTCTAGTACCAGCTCCCAAGCTACAGTGGCCGTTACCGTTCCGCGTGCGTAGCCAAGGACCCAGCAGATGCAATACTCCCGCAGCGCGTCCGCGATATACAGCCGCCAGCGATTGGCGGCGTTCTCAGTGGGGTTAATGGCACTT